ACTCCAGTTTGAAAAAGACAGATGCACCCCTATGTTTATTGAAGCACTATTTACAATAGCCAAGAAATGGAAGCAACCTAAGTGTCTATCAGTAGATGAATGGATAAAGAAGAGGTGGTACATACACACAATGGAATATTATTCGTCCATAAGAAGAAAACAAATCCTACCATTTGCAACAACATGGATAAATCTAGAGGGTATTATGCTCAGTGAAATAAGCCAGGTGGAGAAAGACAAGTACCAAATGATTTCACTCATCTGTGGAGTATAAGAACAAAGGAAAACTGAAGGAACATAACAGCAGCAGAATCACAGAACTCAAGAATGGACTAATAGTTACCAAAGGGAAAGGGACTGGGGAGGATGGGAGGGAAAGGAGGGATAAGGGTGGGGAAAAAGCAAGAGGGCATTACGATTAGCATGTATAGTGAGTGAGGGATACGGGGAGGGCTGTGCAACACAGCGAAGACAAGTAGTGATTTTACAGCATCTTACTATGCAGATGGACAGTGACTGTGAAGGGGTATGTGGGGGAAATTGGTGAAGGGGGGAGCCTAGTAAACATAATGTTCTTCATGTAATTGTAGATTAATGATACCAAGAAAAAAAAATTAACTGGGCAACTGCAAAAAAAAATGACATAGTTGAGAGCTTTATTATAAAATGATAAACATGCTGTACCTGAAATGTCATCATTTGAAGAATACAGGCTGGTCAGTGCACTTTCATGTTGACAGAGGGTAACAAACTGCCAAGGTAAAGGTGAAATATTAGCTTAAGTCTTTGCCCTTTGTTGGACAGTGAACACTGGAAATACCTAGAAACCCTCAAGGGACAGAGCACCACCACGTTGGCATCATATACAGTAATCTCAAGGCTTTGCAGTCTCAGTCATTCTCTGGGACTTTAGCTGTTCCTAGGCAGGACTTCTCATATTTCTTGCCAATTATGATACCCAGGACTGGCCCCAGACTTGGATGTAGGCTGCCCCTGAAGAGTAATTTGAAGGGCTCACGTGTCCCAGGTTGCAATATATGTCAGCCATGCCAGCCCCCGCCCTCCTGATCCTTGGAATCAATAAAACATTTTAGATCCTTCTCTAAGAGAAGATAATGATGGCGAGGTCTTAAGGGGAGATGGTGGGTAGAAGGAGGCAAGGTTCATTTTACTACCCCAATCTCTTTTAAAATAATTCTTAATAATTGTGAGGTCTGGAGCAAGTAAGTAGTGGGTGTGGGGTGGCAGTAACATGGAGGTGGTAGGGCAGGGATAGTGGGTCAGATGCTGGCTTTGCTCTCCTCCTGAAATGCAGAAGCAACATGATCTGAGAAAGTAGGCTCGAAAAGAGGCTCAGGAAGGTGGCTGGGCTACAGGGTAGCTACCCCATGGTGAGGGCAGTTAAAAAGGAAGTGACAAATCAATGAAGTAAGGTATAAATGCATGTGAGACGAGAGAAGTCTGTTTTATGTTGATGGTGTGGAGAGCAGAGTATTATAGTAAAAGTTTGATTCTAATTCTTCTAAGAGGATTTGAGGCATTTTATGGATTAAGAGATTGCAAAATAGGATACTAGAAGTGATAAACTAGGACAAGGACAATCTAAAACTTGTTTCTAACATTGAATGCACAATAGAACCATCTGGAGAAATATTAAAAATGGGGATGCTGGGCCCCATCCCAATTTAACAGAAATCCCTGAATGTGGGTGGGGCAAGTGCTGGTCTAATTGCTAAGTTGTTCAGGTGACTCCAAAGTACAGCCAGGGTTGAGAACCTCTGCTCTTTATAGTAGTTCCCAAATACGGCTGTATATCAGACTCTTGGACAAAGGAGCTGGGAACTCCTGATGTGGAGACTGAATTTGGCTCTGATGGCTAAGGCTGTTCTTTGGACAAATGTTTGTTGGGTATCTACTATATTTCAGATCTTGTTAGGTGCTGGGCGTAGAGTTAGGAACAAAACAGACAAAGCTCTTGCCATTATGAAGCATATAGTCAAGTGACTATATAGTCTACCAGAAGATGAAGGCAGGAATATTTGTCTCCTTTGTTTACTGTTGAATCTCCAGTACCTGGCACATAGTAGGAACTTGATAAAAATTTTTGAATGAATGAATGATTGAATGGTGACTTAAGTGCTATGCAGAAAAATAAAGCAAGATAAGGGGGATAGTGTATATGTGCTTGTGTATTTCTATTTTACACGGGGTGGTCAGCAAAGGCCTCACAGAGAGGTGACTTTTAAGCAAAGATCAGAAGGCAGTAGGGCAGTAAGACTCACACAGCTATCTGGGTATATGAGTGTTCCCGGCAGAGGAAAAGCAAGTGCAGAGGCCCTGAGGTGGGAGCATGGTTGGCATGTTAGAGGCACAGTAAGTGGGCCCTGTAGTGTATGGTAAAGTTTGGCATTATGGGAAATGTGAAGGCTTCTTTTTCTGTATCTGACACTGGAGACTATATGTATTCATGTATACAGAGACTACTATTCCCTGGAGCTGAATGTAAGCAGGGATTTCTGTGCTACTCAATAAGGGATGCTTAATGTCTTAGTGAATCATACCTTTAAGTAGTTTTACAATGAAAAAAACCTCAGCAAATGAGGAGGAAAATCACCAAAAGAATCCAGGTATGTCAGGGAATCAGCTTGGCAAAAGGAAAAGCCTGACAGGTTTCCAAACTGGAGATTCTACCTTTTCTCTTAATATTTTATTTGGAAACCATGGTCTCTATGTGAAGCTTAAAGTTGTCAAATAGATATTAATACTGAAAAATAAAAGGTGTCTGCAAATTGATGGGCTGTGTGTGTGTCTGTGTGTATCCTGGGGGAGGCTTAAAGTGAATGAAGAAGAAAGCAAAGGTGGTACAAAAACAGGCAGATCCAGGAGCATTTATAGCTTTGGCCGTCCATAGAGACTTCCCAAGAGGGCCTTAAGGGAGGGGAATTTCCTGAGATCACATTGAGGAGCTGGCCATTCTTTTAGAAAACTGCCTGTAAAGGGTCGGTCTCAGGGACATTAGGAAGTAGTTGGAATCAACACTCATTTCCCTCAAGCAGTGCCCCTTCCTCTTTGAAGCATCTCTGCCCCCCACCAGTTCCTTTTCCTGGGTCTTCCTGGGAGTGTACTCTGACTCCCCGTGTCCAGCTTTCCTCCAGAGGCTACAGGAATTAACGAGTGGTATTGTCCTAGGGTGCTAAGGTTGCTGCTCTGTGGCTTACTCTGTGCACCTACACAAGGACAATGCTTAATCCAAACATGAGGATTTTGATGAAGGGGTTTTCAGGCACCAGGAGCTGTTACCAGCTGGGAGAGATTTGGGTGTGGGAAGGTGTGAACAAGGTCAGAACGCTTCCTGATGCCCCTCAAAGCACACCACACAGGCAGCCCCTTATTTCTATCAGTATTTCACTGGCTCACAGTGACGGGCCACTACAAAATATTTACCTCAATGCTGCTTGCATTCTCCAAATCTGGATCAATGCTTTCTGTGATCCAAACACAAAATTGGAAAGCAGTTATTTCTGAGACATATACAAACTACAAACTTTGGCACAAAAATAATCTCAGTAATTTCATTGAGGAATCATAGAAATCAGGCAAACAGAAAAAGTTGAAAGAGGTGAGATCCCTACAGTTCTGGGCACAGGTCTTGACTCTACTCAGAAAATGGGAAAGTGGAGTGTGACATGGTGGAAGGAGCACTGGCCAGAGCACCAGGAGAGGCAGGCTCTCCAACTAGCTATGCATGTTTGCACAACTATTCAAACTGTGGGCCTCTTTGCTCATGTGTAAAATGACCTCTATAGCTCTTTGTTTGTAGATTTAAAAAAATTCAAATGAGGCTGCCAGCTAAAGGAATGCTAGGAAGGAAGGAGCTGGTCTTGGGAAACAGTTACTTCCTGTGCAAATCAGGAGTGGGCTGAGGCATTACCCTGAGTTCCAGGAGATATCAGTGATTGAAATTTGGCCTAAAGAGGTTGAAATGGTACCAAGAGAGAAGTTTCAAGAAGACTCACAGAAGGCAGCTAAGAGTAAAAAGAGCACTGGATTTGCTTGGACTCAGAAAAACTGTTCGGGTCTTAGCTTCACTATTTAGAGCCCAGTGAACACTGGCAAGTTACTCCTAACTTCTCTGACTCTGTCTCTGCATATGTACAATGGGGATGTGAGTATTTTCTCACAGGAGGACCAAATGGAATAATGTGAATGTGTTTGACATACATTTTGTACGTGCATAATGAAAAAGGACCAAGGTGAGAGGACTTTCTCTGGATTACCCTTTGGGCCAAGGGTTCTAGAAAAAATGTAGTAAAACCTCAGTTACTTTGAACATGAGGGAGATCCCTTTTAGTTGAATTATCTGATGGCACTGGTTAACCAGAATATCCCCTAAATTTTTTTTATCAGTTGCTAGTTGTTCTAAAGTGTCTGTATGTACTTTGCTACCTGAGGACATCTTGTATACTGCACATATTTGAACTGATGTTTTTGACGACTGGGACCATTTGGCTTTAGCAGGGCCATCATTCCATTATCAGTTTTTAAGTGTCTAAGCTAAATGCATAGCAACCCTTCTGGATATATCTAGGAAGCTATTTTGATGAAGAGGGCACAGAAAAATTCCAGGTATTTCAGAGCTCCAGATAATCAGAATCAAGTTGACAATTTATTGTCTATTCTGTGAAACTATAAATTTGTATCACTAACCCTGACCTCCTCATGAATTCTGGACTTAACTATCCAACTACTTATAAGATTTCTCCACTGAAATGTCTAATGGCCTCTCAGTCTCACACAGCCCAAACAGAATTCTTGTTCCCCCTCCCCTCCCCACCTTTGTTCCTCTCCCTGTCACACTAAATGGCACTACTTGGTTGCTCAAGCCAAAATTGTAGGAATCATCCTTGACTTTTCTATTTTCTTCACTCCCAACATCTAGTCCATTAGCAGGTCCTACTGATTCTACATTCAAAATACAACCTGAATTTGTTCACTTCTTACCATCTACACTGCTAACCCGCTAGTCCAAGCCACCATTATTTATTGGCTAGATTATTGTGGAAGCCTCCTAACTAGTCTCCCTGCTTTAAAGCTATCCCTACTGAGCTCATTCTTCAAACAACAGCCAGAGTGATTTTTTTTAAATTCATAAATTAGATTGTCACGTCTCTGCTTAAAATCCTTCATAGGCTTCCTACTGCAACCAGAAAAGTAATCCACATTCCTTTCTATGGTCTACAATAGGCCCTAACGTGATCTGGCCCCCAGCTATCTCTCTAATCCCACCTCATTCCACTTTCCTGATGAATCCTTTCTGCTGGAAACACACCAGTTATATAACATCTGACTATGACCTGTTCATGTAATACTGGCAAATTACCTCTACTCTGTGGTTCACCTTCTAATGAATAAATAGAGGATAGCTTTCTTGAGTAACTTTTTGAGTAGACTGCAGGCTTGAAATAATCAAGGTCAATTCCAGCCCTGTAGTTTGAGTTTCAAGCCACCTTTTCAGAAAACATGACACTCCTACCTCTAGGCCAGTGCTGTCATTGTTTGAACCACAGTGATCCTTTGAGGCTTAAAAGAACCGAAGACCAAAACTCAACTCATAGATATTTTAATGAGTCAGTATTAAAAGAGACAAAAAATAAAGTGGGGTCCACTCTAGCCAGGTTTTAACATAAGCAAATATACTTAGGTTTAATTTTTAGCTTTGAAAGCTTTTTTCTGGATTTCACTAGGGCTAAGCTAGAAGCAGGCATACAATCTTAAAAGAGATGGCTAAATCCTAGAAGCATAGTCCACATACAGAAGTGACAAATTCTTATTTCCTGGATATTTCCCACAGGAGTACGATAATCATAAACTTACAATATCACACCACATACTTTATACCAAAATTACTGATGAAATCTTATTAGTGGTGAGTCACCTAAAAAACTCAATATTAACTTCAGGTTTGATAACAGGAAAACTCATCAATGAACAGGTTTAAAAGTCTCCTTTTAAATACTATCTAATATAAATTAAGAAAAAATATCAATCCAACCTTCTGTCATTTTAGCACTTGTATCTGGAAGATGATCATCATTATCACTAAAAAAAGAAGAAAGATATTTCATTTTCTGTGTATTTAATATATGAAGGAATACTGTTAAGGTAAAGGAACAACCTAGCAAAGTCATTCATCTAGAAGCAAACCTGGAATGGTATACCTTTGAGTTCTCAAGGCAAATGAAAATGATTGCTACATTGACTTTTATTGGGTTTTATATTCACCCTCTTCTCTTCTCCAGTGATACAAATAATCAAGAGTTGCCTGCATTACTAATTATGTATGTTAAAATAATCATAAGGGAAGATAAGGTCAATGGTGAGCCAAGACTGAATATCCTAAATAGGCACAAGATTAAAAAGAAACCTTGATTTCATAGGGCCAGCTAGAAAAGAGTATAGTTACAACCAGGTAGATTTTTCTCCTTATGCCCTATTTCTCCCATGATACAAAGTGCTACTCTTCCCAGTTTGTGAATATTCTTATAAGTGCAATTTTAGGCACATTACGGCTCTTCTAGAGAAAGTATTCATCAGACTTAAAGTCTACAGTGTACTTTATTCCTCCCTGTCTCCTATAAAAACTGCATAGTCCAGCCTTTCTCTTACAGTCTTCCCCAACTTGGATGGTCTTATCTAAATCTTATCCATCTTTTAAGGTCTGACTCAAACTCCATTACTTTTGGGATTCTTTCTCGAATGCTCCAACTTGTATCGCCCCCTCCATTCTTGGGATTCCTGACAGTCAGTGCCACACTATTGAGTATTTAGGACATAAAGGAACTAAGTAGGAACCCCTTGAGGTGGGTCATTAGTGCAAGGACTATTGTTGACCCAGGTTCAAGAACCCAATACATTAAAGACATAATCTAACTATACCAACTAGATCAGTATACTAGAAAGCAGGCCCCGGGAGAAGGAAATAGTGACCAGATAAATAGGAATGGGAGAGAACAGGGGATGGGGAGGCCCAGGAAGTAACCACAGAGGAAACTAGGGGAAGGGGAAGTTGAGGGATTGAATTCTGGCATTTTCTAAGGTTTATTCAAGGGGCCTATTCTTCCCATCAACATAATTTTCATTTCCATTTTCTAAACTAACTTGTATTACTTGAACTGACGGTACCTAGAAAATGAAGGCAGGTCCTCTTCGTCGTAATTCTATGTATGAAGTAATGTGTTGGTTCATTACTGGGTTTCAATTTTTTTCCCTGGGAAAGTACAAGTCAGTATTACACAAAATAGAGTTTGCAATAAAAGAAGTAAAATATACCATAACCTTTCCTTAGTTATTTATGTAGTTAGCACTTCTGATAGGCATAGTATATTTAATCATGAAATCTCACATGGCTTCCCAAGAAATACATCCCAATACAGAGATCAAGGTTTGCATTAAGGCTATTAACCTGGTGAGCTCCTGATTTGGGTAGAGTTGTATCTCTGTGTTCTGGTTTGTCTGGTTCACTATAGCTTCTGGGTTAGCCTGAAAATTACTGCAAATGGATAATCTAGAGAATTGTCCCACCAGGACATCCTACATCATATGTATTCTCTAAACACATGGTATGGTACAATTTTTTGGGTAGGGTCAACCCAGGAGGTGAATGAGACGCAGACCATCCTAGGATACAGAACCAAGGACAGGATCCGTGTGTCAAAAAGGGTTTATGGGCTGTTTGCAGGAGGAATATTCCACATACTTTGACTTAACTTGATATTTTTCAATAAGTTGGTTAAGTAATTTTTAAGAAAAAAAGTTGGTTAGATAATGTCCCCAAAGGTCATATAGCTACTAAGTGGCAATGCCAGAATTCAAGCCCAGATAGGCTGAGTTTGCATGAACCTTTTCACTTGCCTCCATCTCATCTGGTAGTGCCCACTGGCATGGAGATTCTGTGCATAAAACGAACGAGTATTTACAGGTCGGAGTCCAAAAAAATGAAATATATTATTTTAAATAATTAGCCTGCATTTCTCCTAACTGGTTTCCATTTTGTTTTTCTTGTCCTTCTAACTAACCTAGGACTCTTTCCATGTGTTGTTTTCCTTCAACCGAGGCTCCTGTTAATCATTTCCTTTTTATTGTAAATATTATCAGAGTTAGGAGAGACTGTCTAGATCCAGTTTATGCCCTTTCCTTCCTACCGAATGCACATTACTTGAACTAAGTTTGTGCAGCTCTCTATCCTTTCTACAGAAACCTGGTCAGTGATGTTACATTTCTCACTTACATTTAGTTGTGTCTTTCTCTCCCAGGCAGAGGAGTATGTATGAGTCCTGAATTTTGAGGTAGTCACATCAGCGTTGGAAACAATTCTTCTTTGTATGTCTTCAGATTCTGTCCACTGAGTTCATGATGTTTCAATATTTGTTGTACTTACATCAGATTTGGCATAACATTTCTGACTGAGGAATAGCCTGGGAGTTGCCTTGCTTCCCTAAACTGATGTGTTCTTTCTGCAACCCACTTTGCATGTTGGGGATGAACAGTACTGCTGTCCACATAGCTGCAAAGCGTCTGTCTGAGCTGAGCTATCTATGTTTGTTTACATTCTTTATCACAGCTTTTGCTCCCCTTCAGAGTACCAGTAGTTGTTTTGGATTAGCTATTCTCTCCCAACTCCCTCTGGGCTATGAAGAGATAGCTAAAGCACTGACAAAGGATGTAAGAAGAAATCAGGCCACCAAGACGAACCAGAGATATTTGCCTAGATGATAGAAGAATGACTTGGGGGTAATATTGTACAGTTTACATATGCAGATCTTGTGCCCAAGGAACTACATATATATTAAGGAAGACTACTGAGGAAACACTAATGTAATTTTGAGAAGACAGAGAGAAAAGTACATTTTAGAGTTGGAAAGGACCTTGATCTCTAGTTTAAGAAACTAAGGACCAAGGAGATTTCATCAATGTCTATGACAAACTCAGTATTTAAGGTTAAAAAAAGTGCCTGTCAATGTATTCACCAGCTCTGAGACTTAGTTCAATGGGTTGGAAAATACTAAGGAAAACAAGCTCCTAGGCTTATGCTCCAGGCAGGTGGGTTCTGTAGAACTCTGCTCAGTTTGTAAGCCACAAGCTACATCCCTCGTGGGAGTGCACACTGTTGGTGCAAGAAGCTCATTTATATCGAGGGACTTTGGTATTAAATGGAATGTGGGGTTGGATCAGTGTAACTCCATCTCCTGGCAAGACCATCCCTATGCCCTGGTGCCCTAAGATCAGTAAACAGAACTACTTTTCAATAGTTACATTGTACCAAGGACAGTGCTATGGCATTCAAGTCCCCATTATTTAAGTATATTAGGAGCCCAAATATGGGACTGCAGGGAAACTAGTTCATAAATATAGCAGCACAAACACAACAGGGTCTAGAAGGGTAGAATAGAAAAGAAACTGGGTACATCCTGAGGATGTAAGTGTGTGGGGTAGTGGGAAAGTGTTAAGTAGTTAAAGTGAAATAACAAGAAAGGAATGAACTCTCTAATGAGCTTGCAGTCTAATGTTTGTTGACAATTGTTGCTACATAGAAACAATACTACTGTGGAGTCTGAAGTTTGAGGATTTCAATCTCTAACAGAAGCTGGTTTAGCTGACTTTCTAGCTGGCCCTTTTGGACCAGACAGTACTATGATAATGTGTGTCCATGAGAAAGAACTGTTAGGATTATAAAAATTGTGTTTCTTCTGAGTTGCAAAATGAGAATCACAATTCCAGTCAGTCCTGTTTGCTTTTAAAGGTATTTCTCTGTATCTCCATTCTTTAAGAAATGGCACTTTACAGAAAAAGGACAGTGGAAGGGACAATTGGCGGAATCTGAGAGGTCGGCCGATCAGCTAATAGCACTGTATTAATGTTAAGTTCCTTGTTTCAATAATTGTATATGGGATGTACTATGACTATATAGTTCAGAGGTTTAGGGGAACCTGGGTGAAAGGCATATGGGGACACTTTGTGCAGTGTTTCTATGAGTCTGAAACTATTTCACAATTACAAGTTTCTTAAAAATGGGCCTTTTGTTAGATAAGCATAAAAAAGAAAGAAATGGCAGTTTAGTCTGGCTAATGGAAACTAGCCTGCCACCTTTACACGGAGCTCACCACTGATGGTTAAGTCCCACTAAAGCGGAGTTGTATGAATCAGTGTCCAATTCTACTGGGCTGGGCAAGAGAAAGCTGACTAGATTTTTACAAATGCATCCCCAAAGACCTCCTTGACGAAGTAAATCACAGAATGACAACCAAGTCTCACTAACTGCTCATTTCTTTTCACGACTGCCTTTTGCACTTACCTCAATTACATTCAGTCGTCCTGCATTATCCAATGAGACGCCTTTCTCTTTTTTTCTCTTTCCTGCAACAAGTGTCTCTGTTGGGTAAGCCCTCCCACTTATTGATGCTCTTCTTAGTGCTTTGATGCTGTGTCCAGTTCTAGCTAAACAGTGTAACTGCCGTTTCTTAAGAGGCTGTGTTTTTGTAGAAATGACTCCTAAGTGGTCTGCAACAATGTCTGGATTGAAATTGATTGGTTGTTTCCCACGGTGAGGAATTATTTTAACTGGAAGTTCCTCTTCAGTTAAATCTTGACTTAACTCTTGTGGTAGATCAAGCTCCATTTTAATAGCATACTCATGTGATTTTTCAACAATTTGACCAATGTCCAGAGGTCACCAAAGAGATCAGCACATGAATCTTTTGGGCTAATTGTTTCTAATGGACAATTTGAAACTTTCTTGATAATTAAAGAAGCAACCTTTTAATGAAGACGTTGTTTGTGCCTTTCATGTTATCACAAAGTTCTTTGGATGTTCCAGGGACAAAAGAAAAGCGTGTGCTTTAAAAGTCTTAAAGGGACAAGGGCTTAACAGGTGGACAAAATCATCCCAGCACACTCAGCCCAGCAGGCTGGGAATCTTAAGGAACTTCAGGCACCCTAACCCCCTGGGTGGTAACACAGCTCTGCAGACCCTCACGGTGATAAGCAGCCTGCCATTCATTTCCCCGTGCTAACACTGCAAGCAAACTGGCTGACTGGCCACTGCTGCAGA